ATAAGACTTGGTGGAGGAGGAGAGGTTCTTCTTAGGTTAGTTTACGTTGGGTTTGGTCGTTCCCCCTCTCGTAGCAATATGATAGTTTACGTTTGATTTTACCCCCCTCCACCCCTCTTCACCATTTCCACAGTGGTGGAGTGGTTGGGTGAAGTAGGGTAGAAATCCCTTTTTCTCCCTACTAACATTTATTATCAAAATAAAATGTTAAAACAAAATTATTCTAAGGGAGCTCACAATATTCATCTTATAAATTAAAACAAAATTACTTAACACAAAAGTAAACAAAAGAACTTAACACAAAAGAACTTAACACAAAGTTCCATAATAATAAGTTTTCACTATACTTAGTATGGCACATAAATATACTTCACTAACCAAATAAAGTAATATTCACTCAGTCAATCAGGACAATGGGAAATAATATGAAAATAATAATGAAAAATATGAATAATGTACGTTAATGTTTGAGTAAACACGTAAATACTCAAAAACTCAATTACAAAAACTTGATGAAGACATCGAACAAAAAAAAAAAAACAAATATACCCTTTATGCTTATATAAATTTTTTCTATTTTTCGATTGTATTAAAATAATGAATACAGTATCCTAGATTATAACTATTAATATTTAACCATACTATACTAAAAGTATATATATATTAGTAAATTGCACTATCATTTACATTATTCACTTTCATTAATTTGCACAATTATGCACATGCTTTTATTATTAAGCAGCATGAGGACATGTCACAGAAAAAACATAGGTTTTCCAATTTCCCACTAAATTCTCATACAAATTGATTGGACAATCGATTTTTCGTAACTTTCGTGTCCTTCCCTGAACTTTGCGTTCAAAGTTGGAAAAAATTTCGCTTTAGTGTGACCCATCAATTTGTATTAAAATTTTACTGGGAGACCTGTGATGTAGTTTATTTTTAGTTTAAACGATTATATAATGACAAAAAATCGAAAAACCTACAGATAAAGTGATATTTTTTTAATTTCACGAGTTAATTTCGTCGTTTATTATTTATTCAAACCGATTATAATTTTAATCACTAAAACTGTTATGAAATTATAAATTTTTTTTATAGCTCGGGAAAATAAAATAATCATAAGATTATAATGAATATTTTAAACTTAATTACAATAGGATAATTAAAAATAATTATTTTGATGTAATCGGCACACTACTTTTTACCGAGATTAATTACTAACGAGAATATCACTGAGCTTGTTAATTGTTCAAATGTAAAGTACTAATGTACTGTTCACTATTGAATAGTCCCTAAGTTGCAAAAAAAATTAGATAACTTTTAAAATATAGCGTCTTTTTTTATGCAATAAAAATGCATATATTTCAGTAAAAACGAATAACCTATAGTAAATAAATAGCATTTATTGTAAAGCATTAATGTGCATCACTCAATTAAGAATGTAATTTAAATATACACTTTTTATTTTACAAAACTATCCACTCTTTAATCATTTATTTTAAGTTTTTTGTTATTAAAGTTTAATTAAACTAATCTTATAATATGTATTTCTTTTTTTTTATTTAATTTTATTATGAACTAAATTCAATCATATTTTAAATATAACCACATTTTAAAAGACAGTACATCGAGAAAATTAAAAATATTTTATAAAATGCAATAGTGTAAATTTACACTATTGCATTTTGTAAAACATGATTGAACGTTTTTGGGGTTGAAAATTGGTCAAAAGGGGTACTCTTTTAGTTTTTAGTAATTAACTCGTAATTTAGCGCTGTCGCAAAAAAATATTTAAACTATAATGTAGATCTAATTGTTTTTATAAATTAAGTTCTGGCAGTTTTTCTTCTAAATTCATTAGTTTTTTAGAAAAATGTCAAAATACGTAATATTTCGTTATAATTATCATGCCGATGAACAATAATAATGCCGCTATGTATTGACTTGGCCCTGCATCCAATGATCAATTTCCAATGAATTAATTATATTATTATTAATTGATATTAGTAAAAAGAAAATCACGGCACCACTTAAGTTTTAAACGTCTGGGTGGGTCTCCAGGTTTGGACAATGTTGAGAGGTTTTTTATTAGGGGATTAGAGTGGGAGAGTAATTTACTGTGGAATTTTTTATAGTAAGAGATGGGTTCTTCATGGACTGTTTTTAAGTTAAAGTCGTTATGAAATGTATAATTAGAGATATAAGGATTGATTAGTTTTCTTAAGACAATATTCTGAAAGCATTGAATTTTATTGATATTGGATTTTTTAGCATTGCTCCATAACTGAAGGCCGTAAGTCCCTATGGGTTTTAAAAGGGATTTATAAATTAGAAGTTTAACATTAATGTTTGTAAATTCATTGTTTATGATTAATGATTTGAGTAACCGCAGACGGCTATTTAAAGACGAGCGTTTAATTTTAATGTGCTGAGCCCACGTGAGCAGATTATCTAGTGTAAGTCCGAGATACTTGACAGAGGAAGAGGAGGGGATTTGTACTTTATATAGGGAGACGCCAGGACAAGGGAGAAGTTTTAAAGTAAAGGTAGTATGAACTGATTTTGATTGATTAATTTTAAAACGCCATTTTGTGTACCAATCTTCCATTAGGTGTAGATGATTTTGCAAATTGACGGATGCAATCTGAGGGTCAGAGTTACAAGACAAGATAGCTTTGTCATCAGCATAATGTGCAACAATGGTGTTAGGAGTTATGGGTTGGTCTGAGGTATAGATATTTAAAAAGGATTAGAGATAGGATNAATATTTAAAAAGGATTAGAGATAGCATACCTCCTTGTGGGACCCCCGAATTAATAGCGGCTATATCGATACTGAAGAACCAAGACGGATTTGGAAAAAACGATCAGTTAAATAGGATTTAAAAAACAGGTAGTAAGAAGGATGCAGACATTTTTTTAATTTATATAGTAGGCCATCATGCCACACCCTATCAAAGGTCTGTGAGATGCCAAGAAACGCACTTGTGCAATATAATTTTTTTTCAAGCGAGTTCGATATTACATCTACTACTCTATGGATTTGATGTATAGTGGAGTGAGAGGCCCTAAAACCAAATTGGGAATTAGGCAATATATTATTGACAGAGAGACAGCAAAGTATTCTTTTAAGTAATAATTTTTCAAAAATTTTTGCAAAGAACGGTAACAGACTTATTGGTCTAAACGATGTTGGAAGGTCAGGGGGTTTATTGGGTTTAGGAACTAATATGATAGTCGAAAATTCCCATAATAGAGGGAAATAAGAAAGTCTAATAATTGCACTAAATATATGGGTTAAATGTATAATAGCTTTTTTTGGAAGGCATTTTGCAACCTCAGCCGTTATAAGATCAAAACCAGGGGATTTGTTGGAAGGGTATCTAGCAATAGTGAATTTTACGTCATTTGGAGTAAAATATTTAACTGGAAGATAGAGTGGTAAAGGTGCATCAAGGTATGTCATTTCAGGTGAGTATATATTCGGATGAGATTTAAAAGTTTCAGCTAGATGTTCTTTGAATAACTCTGCCTTTTCCAAGTCAGAGATAGCTAGACTGCCGTTAGTTTTTTTTAATTGGGAGATTAGTTGTTTTATATCTAAGAGCTTGTTTAGTAGCTCTCCACAGGCTACCATCCTTAGATGTTAAGCTACATAAGTAATTTTTATAGGAGTTGGTTTTGTGTTGAGCAAGCATTTTTTTGAGTGTATTTGCTAACTTATTATATAAGTGTTTATGTGACGGAAGTCTGGTGCGTTGGAATAAAGCTCTAGATCTACGTTTGTCAGAAATTAGTTTTCTTATTAGCTCTGTTAAAACAACTGTTATGTTTTGACATGGAGTTTTATCTTCAGTAGCCGTCCAGGCAGCTATTTGAGTGATATTAGTGAGATTTTTTACAGCCTTATCTATGTCCTCAGTGTTTTTAAGTTTTGAACTTAGTTTAATTTTCTGATTAACAAGATTATGAAACATATACCGATCAGTGTTTACTGGAAATAACTTGGGATGACTTAAATGAGTTTGTGGAGTTGAATGAATGGTAAGTAGGACTGATGAATGATCAGAGTTAAGCTCAAGAATATTGTCTATAGTGTAATTTAACATATTCGGTATTTTAGCTACAAAAATGTCAAGTATGTCTGAATTTTTACGAAAGGACAAAGGCCAATATTTTGGACCAGGAGGAGCAAGAATATTTAGTTTTTTTAATGATACAAAATCATGTAGCACAAGACCACGGGAGTTATTTGAGCGACAGCCCCAAATTTGGTATTTGACATTGAAGTCGTCACCGACAATGAAATTACCTTTCAAAGTGTTAAAATAATTGTTGAACAACATGTTCGTGACCTTATGTTTGGGAGGAGAGTATAATGCAGCAATAGTAAATGAAGTGTTTTTAAGTTTTAAGGATATGGAACAGGATTGTATATAGTCTTGGGAGTAATTGGGAAAAGGTATGAATGGAATAGAAGATTTAATAAATATAGTTACCCCTCCATGAGCAGTATTGTCTGGTTGGTTGCATTTTAATAATTTATAACCAGGGATGAGAAAATTTGAGTATTCTGTAAAATGAGTTTCTGTTATAAGTGAAATGTCTATCCGTTTAGTATGAAGGACAGTTTGTAGTTCATTTATGTGGTTTTTTAAGCCATTAGCATTAAACTGAAGGATTAGTAATGAATTGTTTGTAAAAGACTGACTAGTCATTTTTTTTATCGAGCAAATTGGAGATAACTTTTGTTAGGAGAGATATAAGGGGATTGATTAGAGACTTAAGGTCTTCAAAGAAAGTTGACATAACTTTATTTATATCTAACGAAGGTGGAGAAATTTGATTATTAGTATTATTGGAAGTAATTTGAGCATATGTTTGTTATGGAGATGTATGGTTAATATTAGAGAAATCTTTTAATGAGTGGTTGTCTTGTTGTACATTAAAATTCTTATTTTTAAAATTATCATATAAAAAGTTACTTTTATGTGTAGATTTTTTTCGTTGTTGCAGATCTCTGTAAACTGAACATCCTTTGTAATTGGCAGGGTGGCTACTTGAGCACAGTGCACATTTTGGAGGTTGTTCGCGAGGCTTTGAGTAGTTAGACGACATATGATCGGCTCCACAGCGCACACATCTCGGCGGGTAACCACAGTAGGCTTTTGTGTGACCATAATATTGACAATTTATGCATTGACTTATTGTTTTGGGTTTGTACGGCTTTAATCTTTGTATGTAATAAGGAGGATAAGTCATATATTTCTTTCGATTTATCATTTGGTTCTAAGTCAACAAAGAAAAGTGGTAAGGGATTTTTACTAATTTTATGAATAACGTTAGTTACTTACCTAACTTCAAAAAGTCTAATTTCAAGCTCATTTTTTATTGTATCAACCGAAGTAGTAGGATGTAAATTGCGGATCACTATGCGTAAAGGCTTGTCTTTTTTTAACTGGTAGTTGTGAAATTCCGCTTTTTGTTCTTTTAAAAACCGTACCAGTGTTCTATATGAATCTGGATTTTTTGTTTGTATTTTAAGACGATCTACTTTTGATTTACATATAAAATTGTCCACTCCAGTCAATTCAATAAGAGCCGTGCAAAGATCAGTTAAGTTTTTCACACCTTTTATGAAAATAGGAGGAGGGATTTTGATTAGTTGTTCCGAATTATTTTTAGGGAGGTCCTAATTATGTGTGATTTCAACATCATTTTCATCATTAAGTATTTCATAGCGGTTTGAAGAGAGGAATAGTTTAATACTTTTTTTGCTAGAAGTGATTGGGGGAGGCGAACCATTATTTGAGTTTGTAGAAGTAAAATGATACCTTTTATTGGAAATCTTTTTCCATCCATCGGCAGTATTATTCAACACAATCGGCGAGAGTTGATTATTAGTGTTATTATTACGATTATTTTGATTATCAACTTTGTTAGTAGTTATAGACATGACGGCGGCGATAATTTAGATAAGAGGCCGTCGTGTGACTCCAACGAGATAAGTACCACAGGCAATGACGTGTGGACAACCGTGGACACGGCACTGCTTTACGTTATAGCTGTTTAAATAATAATAGTTTTTCTTTTTGATTTTTTTTTTTAACTTACGTTTTTGTTTTATGTATACAATCTATAGAATAGACAATTTGCAGGGCAAGACTGTTACACTTTCACAATAAACTAAATTAGATAGTTTACCACTATAACGGAAGAAAGAAAAATAAAAGAAAGGCGGAGCTTAAAAATACCCGTGTATTCTATGACTGCTAACGAAAGACTGATATTTATATTATCAAGTTTTTTTTAATTTGATCAATAATCAAATTGAACACAAAAATGTGTTTAACAAAAGGACAGAAAAATCCGCAGTAGCCGAACACACTAAAAACTAAGGACGTGACATCCAATTCGATGAAGTAAAAATACTAAACAAAGAAACTCATTTTGACAAATGAATGTACAAAGAGGTAATAGAAATCGAAAAATGTCCAGTGAATTTCAACAGAGAAGACGGATGGAAAATAAGCAAAACTTGGTCACACATCATACACCAGACAAAAAAAAAATCAACTAACAACACTGAAAACAGTTCAATACAAAAAAAAGTTACTATCAACGTAATGTAAAACTGTCGGTGCAGAAAAGGAAGACAAAAATTCCAAAAATGTCAAAAACAACTACAATAATCAAAAACAAAGTCGTCAACAAAAACATCAGCAAAAACAAGATACCATAAACAACATGAGTCATAAACAGATATGATAAACAACTGATATGATAAACAAGCAACGTATAAAAACAGACTGATAACAAGATAAGCCGCCAGTATAGATTCAGCCACCGAGCAGTAAATATCACTCCGAAGATGGATTTTGCAATGAGTCCGAAACGTCAGCAATCAACTGCAAACATGGATAAATCCTCAAGCTTTTCAAATAATATGACAATCCATGAAAGTTTCAAAACATTCATAACATATCATACATTTTAAAACTATACTATTTTTAAATCGACTCAATATTATTAAGTTTTTTTGTTTTCCTTGAGTTTAAAATTTTATATTAATTTCATTATTAATCAAAGAGTACTAATCAGTGTTTAATTAAGGAAAAGAGTTGATGTTGTTTTTTGAATAATCCACAAATTTTTTACAATTAATCACTGTCTATACAGTTGCATCTCAGCTTTTCTTATAGTGATTTTAATCATTGTCAGATATCATCAATACTTAACCCAATTACGTTATGTTCATACTATGCCACGAACCACTGTGATTCCATTTTTAAAAATTTTAAATTGACTCAAAATTATTAATTTTTTCAATTTAAAGACTCACATTTATAATGTTGTATATATGTAATATAATTAAAAAAATATAATTGTTTTATCAGTGTAAATTTATTTTAAAAAAAAACCTACCACAGGGGGTCGCGGCACAGTGTTGACGTGGCATAGTTGAATCAAGTATAATGATATCTGACAGTGATTAAAATCACTATAAAAAAAAACGCTTCGATGCAAATCTGTAATAGTGTTTAATATTAAAAAATTGGTGGATTATTCTAAAAGCTACATGATCTGCTAGTTCCTTATTAATATCTTGATTAAGATAAAGTATGTCGAATGAAACAGGGATTATTAAAAAATATTATTTCTCATAAAAAATTTTGTTGATCCATACACTCTTCAATAAGTTATAGCATTATAAAGTTAAAAAGATAAAAAATAAAATCGAGAAATTTCACACAAAAATATCATTTGGTAGCTTTTCACCATGAAGACAAGTCTAGAGGTCAATTTTTTTTTTTAATATTAAAGTATATTACATTAGCTTTATTTTAAGATATATATAAAAGTTTCAGACTTTCCGGAACATTATCAAAATTTAAGTTGAAAAAATTAATTTTTTGTGAAAAAGTTGTCATTTTAAATCCTCCCCTGTGACAAGTTTCTAAAAAAAAAAATATACCAGATGATAGGTAAAGATATTAAGCATCTATATAAAAAAACAATTATATTGATTTGGTTATTTTTAAAAAATTTATCGCTTTTTAAAGTAAAAAAATTGAAAAAATTAGCGATTTTTAAATTTGTAATTTTTTTTGGAAGTTTCCCCCATTTACGGGTAACAAGGGAATTTTTTTCAATTTTTGAGGGTAATGTCTTCGACTAGATACGATTTGTGATCTTTTGACGTATCATTGAAAGAAATCGGTTCGGTGAGAGTTGAGTAAAAGTGGTAACAGACACAAAAAAAAACACATCTTAGTAAAACCTTAATACCTTATCAGCTTCGTATCAAAGTTAAAAAATTAACATACATTAATAACATTTGAACACGTATTAACAATTCGTGACGAGGTTTATTTTATATTATATAGTACACCATCACATAACCAAATAGATAATTTTGCGATTAGAGAAAAGTAATATATTTTTAATCAATTTAATTACACGACGTACGAATTTTAAAATTACAACCTTTGTTTTTTTATTGATTGTGTATTAAATCACTCAATCAGAATGAATTATAACATCTTTATACTTATCTTGGCAGTGAACGTATCGAGTGAACAAAAAAAGTATGATAAAGGGTATGCAATTAATTTTTTAAATTCATTTTTACAAGAAAATAAATGGAAAATGTCACCAGGAAAAATTGTGTATGACCATGTAAGCAAGAGTAAAATTTCCATGTATGATCTACTATTAAATAAAAAAAATTGTAATAAAGGTTGCATCGTCAATAAAAAAAATGTTAATCAAAAATTAAGAGAAACAATGTTGCTTGTTAATCACGAGTACACAAAAAGTTTAGCATGGATCGTGTATCATGTAAAACATATTGCTGATGTTTGTTTTATACAAAAATTGTATTATTATTCAAAAGATTACCCGCATTGTATAAATTTATTATTACCAAGTATTGAGAATTCAAAAAAACTCATTTCACGTTTTATTAGTGCAATAAATTTTCTAATGAACTTGTTAAATATTAAAACCAATCCATTTATTTTAAACGAATTGACAAAATTTGTTGAGCTAATAAGCAAAGAAATAAGTTACAATTCATATGTGAAGCAATTTTATATTAATTTCAATGCAGAGTACGAAGAGAATGATTCTAATTTGATCAAAATACTTCAAAATTATCACATTGATCGAAGATGCACTCATAAAAATTGTAATGAGGACGATTTTGAGAGGTATATAAAGGAAAATCATTTACCTAAAACGTTCCAAATGTATGAATTTATAGGAGTTAACTTAAGAGAAGGTATTCAAAATATGAATAAAACATTATATACTAATCTGGGCTTCTTTTATGACGAAGTAAATAATGAAACTTCTTATGTTCATGAATGGGACATTGAAAATAGAAAAAAAAAGTTCTTTTATTTTTAACTGATAAATTGTAAATTTAAAAATTATAAAAAAAACTTTTCTTTCTACGTATAGAGTTTAATTGTGACATTATTTGGTAAAAGTACACATGGTCTTCTTCTAGCTTGTAACATGATAAAATTATGACGAGTATAAGGTTTAAACTTTATTTATCCAGTGAATATTTGGTATATCTGCAAATTCATTCTGATAATGAACTCTTAAATATTGCTTATTTGGGCAAAATATATACAAATTACATTAATCATGTGTCGTTATATTAAATTAGAAAATACCGTGGCTATTCTGATGACGGTATGTCTGTAGACATTTAATTGTATATCATTACTATACATCACAATTCTCTGTTTTACAGTTTTGTGTGCTAAATGTTGAATTTATTAAAACTTCTGTATTTTACTTGAATTTACTTGATGTATGTCGAATAAAAAAACTATATAAATAGTATTTCTCATAAAAAAAATTATTGATCCATACATTTTTCAAAAATGTATTGAAATAAAAAGTTAAAAATATAAAATCAATAATTTCAACACAAAAGCCATTTTAACCATGTAGTCAAAATAAAATTTTTTTCATAAAGTATATTATGTTAGCTTCAATTTAAGATATACAGAGTGATTTATTTATCATAACTCAATTTCTCTCAGAATAAATACAATTTAAACATTTATTTTTTTTTTTTTTATCTAAAGTTACAAGTGTTTCTTGAATTATTAACTATGTGATACTTTTCAAGTTCATCCCTTATACTTTATAAGGATGTCAACTTTGTTTTTTAAATGGGAGCAGATATTTTGAATTTAATAAAATATTTGAGTTTTTAATTTAATAGTAAATGGCATTTGAATTTTTTAAATAACTTTAAATGTTTATATCTATTAAACATTTAAAGTTTTACATTTTTGAGGTAATATATATGTAAAATACACGAGGAATTACAAATACAGGTAGCTAATTGGTTTTTTATGATATCGATATTCGCAGGTACATAGCATTTCTTATCAATGATAGTAAGGCACATTGTTGTAAATACATTTACTCGCAATATAGAAAGTATATCTATTGATAGTCATAATTGACAATAAATACTACGTGTCTGTGATAACGATGTCATAAATAACCAATTAGCGACTTGTATTTATAATCCCTTGTGTATTGTACATGTATATTAACTAAAAAATTTGAAACTTTAAATGTTTATATCTATGATTTGTCATAGCTTTCATGGATTGTCTTGTTGTTTGAAGTGCTTATTTATGCATCTATGTTTACAGTTGAGTTCTGACTTTTCGGACTCATTGCAGTTTGTATATTGTTAACTAATAAAGTTATATTAAAAATTCAAATGCCATTTACTATTAAATTATAAACTTAAAAATTTTATTGAATTAAAAATATGTGTTTCCATTTAAAAATATGAAGTTGACATCGTCACAAGACATAAGGGATGTACTTAAATACTTCATAGCTAATTAAAAAAAAATATGTAACTAAAGATAACCAAAAAAAAAAAAACTTAAGATTATATATTTTAAAATAAAATAAAATACAAAATTTAGAATTTTATTTTATTTTTATTAAATATACGGGATAAACCCTTTGAACATATATATACATTATACATATCAGTTATACATTAATTGTACTAATATGATAAATAATAAATTAACAGCTATTCAGTTAATAATGAAGTCAAAGAAGAAATGAAGGGTCAACGTTGGCATTTGACAACATACGTGTAATAGGCTCATTTTTAAGGTATTAGTGGAGTCGAAAAGAACATGTAAATGTAATAAAAATAATATAATATAGGAGAAGTAGGAAGTGAGGAGGTAGAGATGGTAAGGAAAAGGGGTTTATATGTTATTTGGGTTGTGTTATATTCATTCATATAATCTTAATCCTACCTCTTACCCACTCTGTCTTATTTATTAATATAACATGAATATAGTGCATATCTTACGACTACACTTACCTTGATATCCAAATGGACTCGTAGGTAGATGGTGAATTGTGATGTTCCTTGTTGACGTTGATATTTTAAGTTAAATTAAATAAATAAAAATAATGATATGAGGGGTAACATACTGAATTTATTTCTATGACTTTTATTAATTAAAATTAACAAAAGTAACATAAATTTTACATTATTAACTTTTAACATAAAAGTGAGAGTATGCAAGTGAAACACTGTATGAGAGAGAGAAATAAAGAGTAAAAGTGTAAAAAAAAAAGTGAGTGTGTGCTAATTTACTAGCCTTTTTATATTAAAGTAGTTGGTGGGGTGATGAAGAGAGGCTAGTTTGTCTTAAAGATTTAATTATTTAATCTTGCCGTCTACTCGGCGCCACAGATACGCTAATGTTAATTAAAAAAGATGGACATTAATGTAAACATCGCTCCAAATGAACGACGTATTTGTAAAGAGTAATAAAATAATTGTCGGTCAGAAAAGTATTTAAAATTGATAATTATATATGTGTAAAGTGTATTCTAGAAGTTTCTCGAATAATCTCGAAACTTCTATTTTCATTCATTACATAAAGAAGCAACGGATCGGTACTGACGTTGAGGAACTCTAAAAAAAATTAAGGAAAACAAATAGGGAGAGTCAATATTACCTTATAATAAACTATTTAGGAACATAATACCCAAGATCCGTCTACGCTTAGCCGGCGAAACCAGCCCTAGTTGAGAAGCAACTGGTCCATAGTTGTACTCCACAACTATGGAGTACTCCTCAACTGAGGAGTTGAACTCCTCACGAGGGATATTCAATCTAAAACTAGCACATCTCATAAATTTACGCTGAACCCTTTCAAGTCTAAGAGAGTCATTGAGGTCATGCGGATCNAAAATTAAACACTATCTAAAGATTTGCATCAAGCCGTTTTTTTTTTGTTAGTGATTTTAATCACTGTCAGATATCATTATACTTGATCCAACTATGCCACGTCACCACTGTGCCGCGACCCCCTGTGCTGGGTTTTTTTATTTATTTATTATAGTTGTGGCCAATTCATTCGATTTTTTTGTATGATATTTGTAACCTTTCATACTTAATTACAATTAAGTAATTAATTTCTTATGTCAATTATTATTGAATAATTCGTATATATTAATAGTCGCTTTCACTGGATATCAGAGAAGAATCACTGCCACTCTATCGGTTAATCAGTAGCCTAATAGAGTAATTTTTCAATTGATTTATTTTACACCTCTATAAAAGTATAAAGCAATATTGATTGATTCAAATATTTTTAAATGACTAAAAGTTTTAGGTTATTAAAATGTTAATTCAAGCTTATAGATCACAAACAACTGAGTTGAACTCCTCACGAGGGATATTCAATCTAAAACTAGCACATCTCATAAATTTACGCTGAACCCTTTCAAGTCTAAGAGAGTCATTGAGGTCATGCGGATCCCAAATTACGGCACGATACTTAACAATAGGACAAACAGTGCACAATAAAGCACCTTGTATGATAGACCTAATCAAAAATTCCTACATAATCTTAACACAAACCCCAAAGTGTTAAAGGCCTTACAACAAATATGCTCAATGTGGGGATTAAGATCACGATATAATAATATTAATAATATTAATATTCACATATATTCCAATCGTTTTTTGAGACACGGTACCTCTAACAATTTAAAATAATTAAAAATACAATAAGCAATTTTTCTCTACACAACTTTTTATTTGTGACACATAAGAAGTTTCTTTATTTTCTTCGTCATAAGAAAAGCCCAGATTAGTAAACAATGTTTCTCTCATGTTCAGAATACTATTTTTTAAGTTATCTTCTAAAAATTCAAAATACATTACCATTTCTCTCGTCGTATTTCTTTCATTTAAAAATCTTTGATAACACTGATCATTGTTATCTAAAAAATTCTCTATAGAAATATTATAATTTTTGAGTATTTCATACAACGTATAATCTTTGTCATCATAGATTCTAGACTCAGTATCAATTTTTCGTAAATATACATATTCTTCTTCATACTTTGAAGATAAGATTTCATACTTTGCTTCGCTGAACCTTGTAATAAACATTTGTAATTCTATTAAAATAAATGGTTTTGTTTCGATGTTCAATAAACTTTTTAGGAAAATTATTGCATGGATAAAAAGTGTTATAACTTGTTCAGAATTTTCAACACATGATCTTAATAAATTAACACAATGGAATGAATTTTCTCTTTTATAAAATATAATCTTTAAACATTCATTAATCATTCGCCTTAAGTGATCCACGATCCGTGCTAAACATATGGTGTAATCATTATTAATAAGTAACATTGTTTCTCTTAGTTTTTGATTAACATTTTTTTCATCAACAATGTAACCTTTAACAATTTTTTCTTCATTAGTTAATATTGCATCTACTGAAAGATAATTTTCATTTTCATAGTCATACACCGATTCCATAAAAGGATTCCACTTGCTTCTTTGTAAAAATGAATTTAAAAAATTAACTGCATACACTTTTTTAGCATATTTATTCTGTGTATTCGTTGCCTTGACTACCAAGATAAATATAAAGATGTTGTAATTCATTCTTATTAAGTGATTTAGTACGTATTTAATGAAAATAAAAGTTGTTATCTTAAAATACATATGTGATGAAATTAAATTTAATTAAAAATTTGTTATTTTTTTCTAATTGCAAAATTGACTATTTGAATATAGAATGGTATACTACATAATGTAAAACAAACGACGTCATAAATTGTTAATACGTGTTCAATGGTTACTAATTGTTGGATAGGCAGTTACGAGATGGCGTTTTGTTACATTTTTTGTTATGACTGAAACGTCACTCGCACTACCACTACAGATTATGCGAGAGAATCATTCTGTTGAATGACTACCTAAGTGATCGTTGTTAGACACCGAGTTACTGTCGGTGATTTTTGTGATTTTTTTTGCGTTTTCGCCGTTATCCTAACTCGTTTTGTTATATGGCTCTACGATGCTTGCGAGCGCGTAGATGATAATAAATATAGTTTAAAAAAACTATATTTATTTTTTACTTTTTAGTTTCATGTTATGATAGTAGTTACTATCAATATCATGGTTATAATGGGTAACGAGAAATCAGGGTTCGATTCCGGGGAGGGAGTCTGAGAAACGGCTACCACATCTAAGGAAAGCAGCAGTCGTGTAAATTACCCACTCCGGAACGTGGAGGTAGTGACGAAAAATGACGATACGGGAATCATAGCAGAGATGAGAATGCTTAGATAGATGAGTGGGCTAAAAAAGATAGAATAAGGATCGAGCATATAAGAGGGAGTATAGGTGTAGCGTCAATCGTGAATAAGATCAGAGAAAATAGACTTAAATGGTTTGGTCATGTTATGATGAGAGAAAAATCGGAAGCTGTAAGAACAGTTGTAGCAATGAATGTTGAAGGAAGATGAGGTTGAGTAGACCAAAAAAAAATATGCAGGTATGTTATTGAATGTGATATAAGGACAGCTGATGTGAGTGTAGATGATGTGGGATTTCATGTTAAATGAAAGTTTAGGATAAGAGTGGTTGACCCCAAGTAGTTATTATTAAGGCGAAAAAAAGAAGAAGTAGAAGAAGAAGATTTATATTTAATAATAGTTAGATTTATGTAACTTTTATAAAAATTGTTGGACTCATTACTATGACAAACTCTTATAAGGTATTTTAAAATAAACTACAAAAAATAAAATTTGAACACAAAAATAACATGTTTCTTTATCACTGCAGCCATTTGCATAAAGAAGATAAGTCGTCGGAACAATTTTTTTTTTTTAATTTATAGTACATAATATTTGCATTTATTTGATTTATTTTTAAAAGATACAATATTTCCGGAACTTTTGCAAAAGTTAAGTTGAGTTTTGTGAAAGAGTTACTATTTTGAATCTTTTCTTGTGGGCTGGTAAAGGGTTAAATTTTCAAAAATATTTTATCAAATAAAAAGAAATTATTTAAGGTTTAAATATAAAAAATAATTATTTTGATTTGTTCATTTTTCAATAAGTTATGGCAATTTTTAGGAAAAAAAAGTTTAAAAAATTTGTCAATTTTTTTGAAGATTTCTCCCATTTACGGGGAACGAAAGAAATTTTTTCAATTTTTGAGGGTAATGTCTTCAACTAAAGGTACGGTCTGCCAGGCGTGACGTGTTGTGATGACCGGTGATCATGAACTGTCGTTGCGACTGTTGTGGTCTACAAGTAACGACCGCTACATGTCGTGATGATAAAATTATTATTTTCGGCCTGTTTTCACAAACAGTAATATTGTCATTTCAGTTTTATATCTCTTCAAGTACGCATTATGTGAGTAATCTTAATAAATTCTTATACAATAGATACATTTATTTTTAATAATAATATTTTAAGTCTCCTCTTAATGGATGAGGATGACGATGAGGCTTGATTATTATCTTATTTTTCAAAGAAAAGAAAAACAACGGACAATATCTTTAAAAATCGCAAAAGTGAAGGATTTTTTGAAATATTAATTAATCGATATTTAACAAGTAATCACGTTAGGTTTCAGGAATATTTCCGAATTAATTATGAACAATTTAAATTTTTACTATCTTTGGTGGAAGAAAAATTAACCACCTAACAATCGAGTTAAAAATCTTATATTCCCAGCAGAAAAAATTAGCAGTTACTTTAAGGTATTTATAATTAATTTAATATTTTGTAAATTATATCTATAATATAGATATAGTATAGGTATAGATTCTAAACCTACCAATGGCGTATTAACTGTATTAACGATAGTAATAACGATTTCAAAGAATCTTTGATTCTCGATTTTGTCAGCTACTGCTCCCAGTTGATCTTGCGATTCCTGGTCTACATTTGCTGACGTTGCTGTCTCTTTGCTAGTAGACGGTTCATTAAGTGTCCCGTTGATGGCATTGAGACCTTCAAGTTCGGCGTTTCTTCTACGAAGAGTCGCCAGTTCACGATCTTATTCCTACAGGTTGTCCGTATGATCGTCACAAGTTCGTTGTTTTGTGGGTTTTCTATGTTTTTATCCATATAGTTCCCACGAGAAGTTGAGAAATAAAGGTCCGTCACAGCAGAGCTCGATACTGTAATAAGTCTCTATATTCTATGGTGCGCCAGGTGATTCATTCCATTGTGTTAATTTATTAAGATCATGTGTTGAAAATTCTGAACAAGTTATAACACTTTTTATCCATGCAATAATTTTCCTAAAAAGTTTATTGAACATCGAAACAAAACCATTTATTTTAATAGAATTACAAATGTTTATTACAAGGTTCAGCGAAGCAAAGTATGAAATCTTATCTTC